AGAATTATGCGCGAGTTCTCTGCCTCGATTACAATCGTGTTCACTTTGTTGGTGCGTTCTGCCCTGAGTGACTGGATTTGCCTTTAAATGTCACGTGTGTCCTTGCTGCAAAGTCTCCTTTGGGGTCGAGTTGAGGTGATGAGTAACTTGAGTTCATCTGTGTGGGAGGTTCTGCGATTATGCGGGGAAGCATACGATGTTGCCAACATTTGCTCTGTATTTTTCACTCAGCACCTAGCTCACCTTGGGAGAGATTCTTGTCGGTCTGGGTTCATACCAGAATATGCCCACGATTTTCGCCGGTATGCGTCACAGTTTGGTCGTCTTTAGGAAATATACGTTCAGCGACTGGCTCGGGTAAAGAGTGTGTGTTTTCTACGAGACATGGAGGTGTGGGAGACTTTTGGGATAGATGAATCCGAAAGTTTCATCGCTGCCTCACCGAATGTGTCGACCGCCTAATTTAATTATTGAATGCACGTGCCTCTGCTTCATTATTTACGTCAACGGACGCTGCTAATCGTGTAAAAATCCATACCCCAAAGTATTCGAAATTTTGATTAAGACTGCCCAGACGATGATAGATGGCGAATTCAGATTTAGAGCTCTATTCTCACTCATGCTCTGCGATTTCTTATAATGGTTGGTGTAATTGAAACTCAGACTTAGACTGGGAAAAATTTTAATGTGTGTGGTCGTGTCGCTGTTTCTCAATCGCAGCTAAATAAATTTGATCTCAAAAACCATATTTAGTTTGAGTTTTGTTGAAGCAATGAGAAAAAATGGCAATAACGTTGACATAAGCAGTATGACGCAGATTTGGCACTATGACTCAGGACGGACGACCGCTCACTAAAACAATTTATAGTTCCCAGCACCTTGACTGGAATATGCAGTTGAAGCTAGGATAACTTTACAAGCCTGGCTATTTTCTTGCCGAAGCATCTGTCAACTTGCCCAGACGAATCAAAACAAAATACCAATGTCTACAGAGTAGATTGTCCGCCTTTTCCACTTTACGCCCTGACCTTACCGGATAAAACAAAAGACGCTCATAAACAAACTACTTGATGGGCCGCAGCTTCAAACAGCTAAGTCGGCTGCCCGTTCCAAAGTTTTGTTTCATGCAAAATTTTTGGGTTTAAATGTAAATGCGTAATGCTAATATTTCCTAACTGTAGCAAGTATAAGGAAAAAGCGCGAACAGTTAGAAAACATGTAATGCCGACCCCGCGAATTCGCTCTGAGTGCTCAACCTTCCAAGATTTAGGGAGAACAACCGTTGGCTGTGCTAGTATTCGATAGTCTCTAACCTTTTCGCTCTGGTGCGTTTACTTCCTTTTCCGTAGTTCGCCATGACTTGGATCTATTACTACTATTGACAGTTCGACCATCGGTTTCGATGATGTCCACCGTGTGCCCCACAGTTGCAGCAGCAATGGGAGCAGGGACGGTGACTTACGCAGGGGTTTATAGTGCCGGTAGACTTGCGTAGCATCTACCTACACTCTCTCCTCC